TTGTGGTAAGACCGGACGTTTACATGGATGTGGGCACGCCCAAATGTCAGTCTGCTTCCACATGGTGTCCAGACGGAGAAGATAAATAGTTCCGAGCCTCTTTGAGCTAATAATTTCGGAAGCTTTGTGAATTGATCTTCACAATGGCGGTGATCTAAGTTTTGCATCATATGGGGGAAATGAAGCGTGACGTTAGTCACTTTGATGGGTACATTTTCTTTAGGTTGATAAGTGAGTCTGTGTTAGTCATTTTTACGTGGCTTTCGCTAATGACGAATACTAAGGAGAACTGAGCATTTCGTCGACCAATGTGGTAATTGATTTGCAAATGCCAAGTAAGGTATTTCCATAAGAGACAGTTCTTTGAAATGAAATTTACTTAATCGGCTGAAATTGAGCGTTATGGCAGAACGTAAAAACTCGTCCTTTTTGTAATTACCACAAATCTCGTCCAGATCGCATGCGATCTCATTAAGGCTTGACGATGCTGTCTTCAGGATAAGATTATCGCTGTTAATAGTCGTTTGAAAGGGAAATGCAACGGAGACAAAAAGTTGTAGAGCTTCTAGATGTTAACTGAGGATTTACATAAGGCAGATGATGTTGGTACTTCTGGGTACTGACGTGTTCTAAATAAGCGAAAGTTGGTTTTCAGGTAGTTTCGCACTGGGTTTAAATGATGAACTCTGCGACCAGTGAACTACACGTGTACCACAGCTACAAATCACGCAATATAATTACATAGTACATCACGACGTAGCTGTTTATAGGGATTAGAGCACTAAATTAAATCCCAAAACAGGAAAACCGCAAATTACATAGTCGAACCTGTGTAAACAAACCATGTTATATTTTTAATTTCCGCTGTTAAAATTTTTGTACATAAATGAACCTTCTACTGAACTTGAAGGTCTTTCTTGCGTTAATTTTATAGTTGAGTGAGTTGTACTACTCGGTACATTTTTTCTAGACTGGAATTCTAAAAATTTGGAGTATTTGCATGATAATAGCGTTGTGAGACACGTGTTTTAACAAAGAACACGACAATACCGGATAATGTCAAGAATTATAAACAGATGATTGTAGATAATTACAAATAGTAGCAAAAAATTAAACGGGAAATTTGTAAATGACTTGCATACTTACAAGGTCTGGTGTCTAATTTAACGTTTACTGTTACTGTTAATATCAGCATTGCTGATTTTAATTGTTATTGTGTGGATATCATTGTCTATTGTAATCTGTAAACATGATGGACGATGCGTTATAAGATCTGAATAAAGCTTAACGATCTATGATTGTACGTATTAAAAGGACAATTTTATAGAATTGTGTTTGTCGAGTTAATATTTAAATTTTGTTATTTGACGGAATTAGATATACGGAGATAAAGCTTTTGTAGGCAACATTGTGATTGTCGTTCAATATCCTAGAGGAGATCTAAAGTGATACAAATCTAATTCCATTAACTTGAACCTGAGCATTTTAAAAGTAAATGCTTATTTTGTGGAGACCTGAACCACAGTTAAAGAAGTTACCCATTCAAATAAAAAACAGTACTGGTTCCCAAAATTTTGGAAAAATTAGACAAACCGTTTTTTTATTTAATCCATAAAATTCAGTCATTTATTACTTTTCAAAATCTTGTTCAAGCGGTTCTAAAAAATAAAAGCAATACTAAAATGCAAATAACGTTGAAGTTCGAAGTACATACACAGTAAAAAATGTAGAGTTGATCCAACTACAAAATGTTGCTCAAATAGGTCCACTACATCTTTTTAGTTAATTTGACCACATGGCTTAAAGCAGTTTTTTACTAAATTAATTTCGTAAAATTTAGCAATGCCTTTAGTTCAAAATCAGTTGTTTTATTGTTAAGTATTCTACTTACCGTTGTTTAAATTAACATTATCGTAGTATGAATACAACTACATTAGCCTATGGATTAGAAACATTTTTGATTGTATTGCACGTTTATATTGTTGCTCGTACCATTTGTTTTTGCAAACATATCTGCCACTAACTGAATTTTTAACAACATAAGCTGTTGATTTTGCAAGAATTATCGTGTTCGTTTGTTTTTGCTTATAGTTAATAACCATCTAGTTTGTGGTCTTTTGACAAGCTCGAAAGTGATACATTATCAAATTTGCTAGTTATTTTAACCAGTGAACTTGGTTCTTCTAACAAAATAAACTGGTTGTACTACACTTATTCTGATGTCTTGGATGTATTTTGGCATTATCATTTTGTTAACTTAACAGTTATTTTGTTACTTTTACATTTTATTGTAGTTAATGTTCATGCCCCTTGTTGGTTACTTAACTAAGTAATTTTGTTCTTCTGACCAAATTGTATCGCCAAATTACCCACCCTTGAAGTCCCAATGATTTAATAATAAAACTCATTTATTTATATTTTTTTATTTTCATATAAATACAATATACATTCATAGAAAACAAATAGATTTCCCGAATTAGGTTTTACACAGATAACAAATTATTGTACATTTACATTTATGATAATATAGAATACTTAGGAACAATTGCATTAATATTGCTACCAAAAGGATGATGTAACTCATATGAGACAAAGTGATTTACACTTTTCAAGTCAACAATTTCAAATATTGTGTTATTAGGGCTGCGTATAATGTAAGCTTGATAAATCTCGTTAAATGTAATTGTATCCCAAGTCGTACAAATTAAATATGGACTATTATTAATAATAAGTAACTCAATTATCTCGGAAAAAAGTGGGTATTTTTCATCGTGTTCTAATGTAACAAACATTTTCTTTTGGAAGAAAGTACTGAAGGCAGTTACCGAATTTGTAACAGTTACGGAATAATTGTCTTCAACACCAAGTATTGAATCAACAAAATGTTTTCATGAAACAGAATATAATTTATTTTTGTAATTAATTTGACTGCATTTTCCGTATAATGTTTGATAACCTAAATTTATGTTGTTCCATTGGTGCCATATGTGCTCCTGATGTCGAAAGCTCAGAGTTTTGCATAAAGATTTGTAGTTTTTTAACTTGGTCACGAGATTTTTAAAATATCCATGTTTGGCTTCAAAACGCATGCAACACAAGCCTATTAGAGGTCCCATTTTTAAGATTATGTAAGGATAATGTATCATGAAATGATGTTTGGGTGTTAAATTAATATTGTACTCTTTTATAACTAATTCATGATGTTGCCTAATTAATTCCTTTAGTTCAGAAACACTTGCTTTTGTATTCACTGTAGAAAATACTATGTTAACAATTTTTAGAATTAATTGAATAACTTGGTATTTTCTCAGGTGTTGTTCGGATAACGATAGTATTTTATCCGAAAAAATTAAAGGTATGAACTTCAATAAACAGAAAGTCTGTGCGGCACGTTGGCCTATAGAATTACCTAGTTTATCAAGACTTATGGGGCTTGGTTTAGTACACTGATAATTATGTCCAAAATTGAAAGATTTTATTCTGTCATTAATATCTTCGAGGGTTATGATTTTTTCTGAAATAAGAAATTTGAAAAATAATTTAAGTTCCAGTTGTATAACACCTTCTAATAAGTCATGCATAATGTCTACAGACTGATTATTACATAACTTAAATTGAGTAAGATTATTTAAGGAACTTCGGAATTTAATGCCACAGACCGTATTATTAGATCTTTTCGAAAGATCGGTTTCCTGTTTTAGCGATCTACAATGTTGTTCATACATAAAATCACTTCTTAATAAACTTTCATCTTGAATGGCTCTACTTTGTGCGTCTGTTTTATTAGCAATGCAAATGCGGCAATAGTTAGTTGAGGAAAAAGATTCTACCATGCCAAAAATTTGATTAGCACCCAGATTGTCATGACTAAGTGAGACAACTGTGCCTTTTAAAAATGTCTTTGCAACGTCATCATAAACTCCTTGCTCTTCTAAAATTTTAATATCTTTAACAATGATATCTAGAACTGAGTTCATGCCAAATTTCTTTATGTCATTGGAATAGAATAAAGCAACTAAATGAATATTCTCCAAAACTGAATTTAACTGAGCGGGTAAGTTCTTTATCATCATATAAATTGCTCCAATTTTGTGTCCTCCCGTTTTGGATCCTAATGGATTTACCGTATCAAATTCATCGAAGTAGAGCTGCAGCTGAAACGCATGAGGGTTTTCTTTAAAAAATGCACTCTTTCGGAAAATACTTCCATGTGAAAATTCAGAAAGAATGTTGGGGTGACTTTCTTTGGGTTTTTGAAATAATAATTTTCGAAAAGAGTCATTTTTTAAAAGGAATTGTAATGTTTTTAAAATTGGAACATACATAAAATGACATGACATCAGGATTTGTTCGTAGACAAACTTTTCCTTATTCCATATTTGGTCGTATCTTATGCCTATTGGAAGTTCAATAGGTTCAACTATATGTTTTTTAAAATACAACTCTCTTTTATATTTTGTGTTAATATCTGAAAATGCATTCTGAACAGCTATGGTGCTACTGATTCGTGTATCCGAAATTATTTTTAGTAATTTTTCATTCATTTCTAGGATATTTTGAATGGTCGAGTCTGGTAAACCCAGAGAGTATAAACTCGAAACATATGACGCACAGTAATCACTTAACAATTTCTGATTAGTATTTGATGTTAGGTTACATCCAAAATCAAAATGTTCGTTAGTAGATGCAAATATTAACTCAGTTTGAGTTTTACAACATTAGAGATTGAAGAACGATCCTTATTAATTTTGTGTGTGTTACATTTTTGTATGTGTCTCCTATATCCACTAAAAGTTTCATATATGTTGGTACAACTAAAGCATTTTAATCTTAATTTTTCGTTATCGTACAAAGCATGCACCTGTCGTAAATGTTTCAAAAATTTACCTAACGCTAACTTACTAAAGTACATAAAAAACAAGAAAACATGTTTAAAACTAATATAAAAACTAAAAAATACTTCTAAAATGTTAACACAACAGTGTAAAAATGATATTTAGGTATTTCTTTATTCAGATTCATCGCTTGATGGCGACATCAAGTGATCCATTTTAGTTCTCAACCAACGAATTCTATCGGATATTGTCTTTACTTCTAAATTATAAAACGCATTTTGAACAAATTTATAAAAATACTCTAGAGATTTCTCAAAATCTAAATTAAATACAAAATGTACTTTAAAACAAAGATCAAACGCAGTTATTACATTTTGTTCAGGAGAAGGGATTATGTGTTCGTCAAATACTACGTAATATTTACTTATTGCAGCTTTGGATGTTCCAATTGCCAGTATGAACGGTTGTTTGGATGGTCTTTCCTTCAAAATAGTAGTGAAAGGTATTTGCATATCTTTAAATATTATAAGTTTGTTTGCAGCTGTAGCGGCACTTTGTTTTCTTGCATTTTTAGAGCTAGTTGGGGGTAACAAGTAAACCAACATTAAAATTGCATTGGTACTTGCATTCCAATCTGAAAATAAAATATGTTAGATACATACCTCTAAAAGATAAAATCTTTTAATTAATCTGGTACCTTGGGGGTCCTTATTTTCTTCGTGTAAAAACTTTGTGTTTATATTTGTTGCTGTTGTTGTGTATAGTTTTTTAATTATGGAAATATTTTTTGAAAAAGTTTTATGAAATATATCATTTTCAGGAAACATTAGAGAAAATTCCAAACTTATCTAGAAAACAAAATTTCAAATAAATTAACAAAAAGTATTTTCACCCTTACTAAGCCAGGCGTATCAAAAAACCTGGGAAATAATTTATCGATATCTTGTCTGTGACTGTTTCTAAAGTCAAATGTCTGTCTTGTACGTTCAAAAATATCTTTTATCTGTTCCTGCGTTGCTGCCTTCAAAAACTCTATGGTTTCTTGAACACTCTCATCATACTCATCACTACTGACTGTGGAATTCTCTTGAATTGTAGAATTTCCTTTTTTCACTTTTTTATCTCTAAAAACAGTTCGTAAGCGGCCAACGATGAATCCCCTAAATGCTTCCTAAAATATTGTTAATAACATGGAACAATTTATTATCTGTAAGGACCCAATTTAAAGTCGGATTTGCGATAATCACAAGTCGCATTGTATCGTAACTACTGTCATCGTATCTCCCATGGTAACGGAGACTTGCAACTATCGCAAAATTCAACTTGAAATTGGCTATACTAAATAGACGGTTATACTAAAGCTACTGCACTAGATCGGCAGTACAAGTTGATGTGGTGACCTTAGAATGTACAAGGTATCTTTTTTATTGATAAATATGTGTAGTTTGAATAATTTGTCATGCATTTTGAAATGTGAAGCTCGTCGTTTAAACTTAAATAAATATAAAAAGACACCCTGTATCCTAACATTTTAAAATACGCACGATGAAGGCATACTTACATATCCTTCGTCAGTATGTACATCTTTCAATTTTGGGAACAGTGTTACTATGCATTTAGCATATTGTGTTCTCGTTTCAGCAGAAGGTAAAGTATTGGGGGGCATAAATTGTAACATATGATCAACTGCGATATGCACCAATCGTATCCTATGTTTGTCATCTAATGTTCTATTTTCTTTATAGTAGCTGATTAGTTGTTTGCCCCAAGCATCAGATAACAAATAGTTTTTGAATTCCTAAAACGTATCATTGGTGATACATATATAGTAACTTGTTACCATTATAACGACATACGTGATCAGTTAAATTGTGGTATGAAATTGATGATGTCTTTAGTCGCTTCTTACCAGTAGGGGAAACTATTAATGAATAAGAATCATCATCTTCATCGAAATTTGAGCAGATATCGGATGGTGCCGGGGACGTAGGCAAGGACTGCAAAGTTTCCGTACTGGCACTACTAACTCCTCCGGTATATGCCAATGAATAGGTTGAAAAGGCAGGAGAATTTATATTTCTCTCCGTAGGCAATTGTTCTAAAATTTTAATTTTGATGATTAATGGAATTATTAAGAGTGCAAAAACGAGCAAGCACTATTTTTCCTACTATCGATTAAAAAATACTGCCAGTAATTTTAAACATTGACTATTATTTATGATCTGACAACTTTCTAAACTATATCTACTATACTGATATATCTTTTTGAGTAAAATATTGCAATTTTAAAAGTTTTAAATGTTTACCACCATAAACTCTTTGTCTCTGATATTTTTTTAAATGACTGAAATTGCCTCAGTTTTACGTGTTTTTTGAGCAGAACACTATTTTGTATTTCCATATAGGTACATATATAGTGCAAAGGCAAATGGACCAAATACTCTCAAAGCAATTGTAAACTCGCTAAGCGATTGGAGTGGTACCTTTCAGTATTGTTATTTAACACGTTCAATAGTTTACCTTATATAATGTCTAATAGTTTTTAAATAATTAAAATACCTAAGACTTCATCGTCCTTTACAAAACTCAGTATTACCCCTTTGTTGGAAATGTTTAAAAAGTCGTTTATAAAATCCTCGTTTATTATAGCTCCATCCGAATCACGTATGTTGAAAGAGGATCCCAATAATTCTGGGAAACACTGAGAAGCTGAAGTGTATTAAATTAGGTATATATGCATTACTTTTTTAACGCAGATCATACAAACCTTTAAGTTTAATAGATTCATAATTGCCGCTAACTGAAGCCCATACCAGTGTTTCTTTATAACGTAATCTTACATAATACGTTGTGGATGTGGAAGGGCACGCGTTTATGAAGGTATTTGTAAAGTCGATTTCGTAATTGTTATCAGTCTAAAGAAAATATTTTCATATGAGATTGAAAGAGAGGGTACTTTGGTATAACACAATTTCAAGGTTAACGTATTGGTCCAAACCCAAATATCGCAGCTTCAAGAAACAAAGGAGCAAAGTGGTGCGTAGTTTATCGTTCATATGTCACGTAGCATACAGATTACACTAAAACATGCAATATTTGGCTTTGGCACCGATTAAGCAATTGATAAAAAGGATCCCCATTTAGTTATAAAATAAAACATTGTTAATACTTACCATTGTGCAATCTTTTTGGAAACGAAACTCCACGCAGAGCCCAACAATGCACACACAATGCACCGAATGCTGACGCTGGAGCGGGAAACACACATACCTAACTCATTCGTGTAGTCGAATTAACCCGAATACAGTTGCAAGTATTAATTTTTACAACATAAATGGGTAGTTCAGCACTTCCCGAAGTCAGCGGCACTTTTGTATGTGCAAGTTGACAATATCCAAGTTGTTGATTTCACTTGGCTTAGTTGTGAGGTTGGTTGATGCATTTTGTTAAAAACAGAAACAAAATGTGGTTCGAATCAACAAGTAGGATATTTAAACTATCCCGATTGGGACATCTATGAACCGGAGTAATTGTATGTCCACTTAATTTGCGAATGATTGAACACATGCAAGTTGTTGGTTTCATCACTTGGGTTCTGTTAAAATAGCAGTGGTATGTTATTGCATTATCAAAAATATCTGCATTCAATGAACAACAAAAGAGTGAAATGTAGCCTTTACCAAATGAAATTGTACCATGTTGCTTGTGATCTAAAATTCTTGGTCGTCCATTTACCAAGATTAAACAGTTAATTTAGTCATAAATATTAGTTGTGGGAGCTGTTCCCTTAACAAAACACAACAAAAAGTTAGTTTCACTATTACTAACAATAATGTCCAATTTACATTCAGAAGGGCAGAAATGTACCGTATCAGTTGCGAATTAGTACAAACTTTTTCGTTATATGAGCAGCTCAAAAAGGACAAAAATATAATTGTTAAAACAACAGAATGTAACGGGAAGTCAACAATATTCCGATCAAGCAAATTTTTGAATTCTAAATTTTGCTGTTCCGACAGCAATTTAGTGTTAAATTTAACTGCGAATTATTAACTAAAACTGTTGTTGTAGAAATTAACAAATCATTTTTTACTGTGTAGTTTGAAAAAATCTCGGCGACCCCTTGTATATTATTTTTGAAATAGTTTAAATGAATCTCGGGAACCCCCTGTGTTTTCTTTTTGAAGTAGCTTGAAAGAATCTTGATGATCTTTTTGTCTTATTTTTGAAGAAATTTAAAGGAATTTCTGGGACCCCTTGTGTTTTGCTTTTAAATCAATTGAAAGAATCTCATGTACTCCTTGTGTCTGGTTTTGTAGTAGTTTGAAAGAATCTCAGGAACCCCATTTGTTCTGTTTTTGAAGTAATTTGAAAGAATCTCAGGGTCCCTTGTGTTTTGTTTTTGAAGTAGTTGAAAGAATCTTGAAGAACGCTTGTGTTCTGTTTTCGAAGTAGTTTAAAAGAATCTCAAGGACCCGTTGTGTTTTGTTTTTGAAGTAATTCGAAAGAATCTGGTCCATAAGAATGGGACTATAATAAAACAATTGTTGATAAAACGAAAAAAAAAAAAATTAACTGAAGTATAAAATCGGATTAACTTGGAGTTATATTTCAAATTAAAAAAAAACGTCAAAGTTGAAAATTGCTGGAAAGAATAGGTAGATGGTTGAATTTTAACAACTGAAAATTTTGGTGTAACATCTTTTTATTAAAACTAAAAATCTTCGTAAGCATCAAATTTGAGCTAAAACTCAAGTTTAAAAAATAAATAATTAAGTAGATGAGTTGTCAGATGTCAGCAACGAATCAAATTGTACTTTCAGTATTTCAGTACTAAAAAATTTGTAGGTTTTATTAGATACAAGTTTATTTTGTGTATTTCAACGTTCTAACCAGTGATGACATTACAGTCCTTTTTTCTTTACAAGAAACATGAAATATGAGATTTCACACGGAACAGGCAACAGATGTACTTGATCTAAACCATTTTTAACTTGCGCTTGAGGAGAGCCGTTTCCTTATGATAGACAGCCAGAGAACCTTCAGATCTCATTTCAAATAATTGTGGTTTGTTCTTATATGACAATTTAGCAATATTTCCAGTAATTTAACAAGAACGTACTTCTGCAAAAAAAATATTTATGCAGAACTTTGAAATAAAACAAATTTCTCTAAAAGATTACTTAATTTTTTGAAATGACGTCATCAACCTTATGGGAAGGGCGAACAAATAATTTTATTTAACCTTCCAATTACTAAATCATTTTTGCAAAATAATTGCGGAAGGAACAAAATTGCATATTTTCACCAAATTTTGAGATAATTCTTTAATATGTTTGCAAAGAAATAGCCAACAGACCGACAGACGGAAACGGGAAATTTGTATTTTTATATTTTATGAATACAGATTTTCATTGAAGAACTAAGAGTTCATTGATTTCATGCGCGTTTCTGTAGTGTTTTTTTCAAAACTACGTAAGCAAATTTTTGTGGTATTATTTTTATAGAGCCAAACTGTTGTAAAGGAAGAAATAAATGGACGGTCCATCGTCTGTGGTCAGAAGTCCGGAACTTCACGAATTAGTCAATGTTTTTACCGCACGGTAGTCTCGAAAGTCACTTGATGCACTACTTTTTTAATTTTAACAATAGATTATTTTCATTAAGTCGAAAAACTGGACATGCATCACGGATCAGAATCGACTTGAGACTTCACAGCGATTTGGATTTTCAAGTAAAAAATTAAAATTTTATGACACAATCTGCGAAAATTTCAAAAAGAATGCGGTTCTAGCGGCTCAAACGCTTCGAAAAAACCGAATTGGCAAATTAAAACTAAACACATGTAGGTATGTGAGTCTAAAACCAAGACATCAAGCTAATTACAAAAATAAATATTTTAAGCAGATTCTCACTTGGACCACCAGCACTGACATTTTGGAATTCAAAAGTCCATTAATGACGGAAGACCGGTTGTGTTTATTAAACAAATAGTCTCGAATTGGAAAAATGTCAATAAGTCCTGCTAATAACAGCAATAGCCATTTCAAGCACGGAGGTATAATAAAAAGATACTTTATCACCGCGACGTATCTGACGTATCAGCATTGTTGCTGGTACACAATCTAACAGTGCACTGAAAATATTTGCATGCACATCATAGTACACTTGCCGGTCACAGACAAGCGTTGCCCTTCGCGGGAATTCTCCAAGACAGAACGCACAATTACGAAAAAAAATATTAAGTTAACAGTAAAAAAATAATGAATGTTTAAAAATGTGAAACAAACAACAACAAAACAAAATCGTAATTAAAATTGTCACCACATCTCTAATTGGGAAAATTTTTGACTTACCTTGGAAAGCCCGCTCAGTCAATGGTAATCCCAATGCCTATCCAAAGAAAAAGTTCACGAAAATAACAACACAATCAAAAACGTGTCTAGCACATGGACTTGCGTCAGAAAGCAGCAACACTACGTCCTCTCTCCGACGACGTCAAAACGCGACTGATTGCTGGGACTTGGAGCTTTAGCCCATGGAGAGCGCGCAGCGCAAGTGCCTCAGCCTGTCCTAAAGGCACCATAAAATGCATTTTTGTGATATTACGGCTGATAGTGGGATGCAAGCAGGTTCATTGTGGTGTCATTGTTTGTATGTTTTTTTAAGTTCTCACACTTTCCTTTTGAACGAGGGGTGGGTGTACAGGTGAGAGAAATTGTTCCCATGTTGGCTGGTTCATTTAAAGAATGTATTGTTCGAAATGGACTTCGGGCAGGTTAAGAGGTTCGAGATGAGGTGCACTTAATTTGACTTGAAGATAAGGCGGACGCGGTCGTAAATAATGGGTACATATATGAGATTTTTGGGTGATACGCAAGCGGAACAAATTTCGTCCTTGTGTAAGGTAAATAAACTATTTCCATAACAATGGAGAAGAATGGCTGGTATGCTGTAGGTAAATAAATTGGCTACTTATCGTAATGGTTTTTTAGGTTTTTATTGCAGGTGCAAGCTATAAAATACAAAAAGTTGTTTATTATTTTGGATTCGAACAATGCGAGCTAAGTGGAATAAAATAATCAGTGTTCATGCCGGAAAATAAACTGGTATTGTAAAATATAATAGCTGCAGTAGTGTTGTTTACCAAATCAGATATAAATTAAAAGTACAAGCACATCATTATCATTGTGAAGGTCAGAGCAAAAAGAAGTGATGGTATATTATAATATAATTACCGACTGTCTTAATTATAAACAAAATATTCCGTAATTTTGAGAATCAACATAAAGAAAATATTATTCGACCAATTTATAAAGTTGAATGGAAATTACAACACTATAATAGCTGTTAGGGTTTTATTGCGTATAAATTGGAGTAATTAATTCCACCAATATGCCAACACAATTTGTGAAATATCCGTTTGAACAACAACAAGTATTGGAAAAGGTTACATATTTTCAGATTAGTCGAAAACCACGAGTTACCTTACTCATTAATAAACGCTAAACAATACTGCGGTTGGGAGAAATCCACGTACAGCGAGATTTTGAAATTTTCATGATTTTTCAGTTCACGTGATAAAATTTATGTACAAGAAAAATATATTAACCGATTTTTTTTTAATTTCTGTGGGTACAAAAAAATTGTACATTACACAGCATTATACAGCCATAACAATGACAGTAGAAAGTATAATAAAAAACTAACCCACAATACAATTGTGTTAATACAATTTAATGATACAAATAAATAATAAAAGTGTCTATGATGAACTGATGATTGATATTCTCACCAAACCTCTTTCTTCGAGACCCACAAAAGAATCTACGTGATCCAAAAAACAATAATATACATTGTAATGAGCCCTTAATTTCGTCTATAAATTAAATGTTTTTGCCATAATCATGTATCATAAAATATAATATGTATACCAAAATTTTAAAATGAAGTATATTTTTTTTGTCTAATTACATTGGTTAGTCTTACACGTCCACGGTTGGCGACTCATGCCATATGTTATTCTATAATAAAAGTACACATGTGCATATTTTTATATATATAAAAAATGCTGTATTATTTACTAACGTCTTATTATTTCCTAATTTATATAATAATATAGCCAGTTGTTCTTTTTTCCATACTATAATGACACTCACGCTAAAACTATTTCAAATATCAGCACAACAAACCATTCTGGCTTATATTTGTTTATTTATAAGTAGACCAAGTATATAGAGAAATGCACATCTGGAAGTCGTTTTCAACTAACAGTGTCGATGCACTAGATCTTTAATGATCAGTTTTTCAGTTCATCCAAATCCTGATATTATATGTACATCACATATAGATTTCGTATTGCACAAGCATTTAAATACATGCATTGTATTGCTACAGTGGTTGAAAATTCAAAAGGGAACACATTTTTTTGAGCAAAAACAAAATAATGCGCTCCGTAAAAAATACATAGGTACGCTAGCGATATTTTTCCTATTTTTCTTTAAACTAACTGCTAGTAGTTTTTACATATGCAAAATATTTTTGAATGAATATTTTTTTAAATTTGATGAACATTACACAGAATGACAATAAACAACATGGTAGTTTCTTAATAGAAAAATAAACTTTGAAGTGGTTGAAACATATTTCCGAGTTGTTTGTGTTTATAAGAATAATTTTACTTTATTTACTAATTTATTTACATTTAGGTGATAAATCAATATTATTAATATAATGCAAGGTAAATCCATGCAGTTTTTGAAAATTTTCACAATTTTAAATGAAATTCTTCTTACACCAAAACTCAAAAAACTAAAATTGTAGTTTGATGGTCCATAACTTTTGAACAGACAAAGAGAACGTATTCTGGATTTACCATTTGATTTCCTGTACTTTTCTGGGTATCGTTGTATATTTTTAGCTAGGTGTCTCCATGTCCATTTATAATATATTTTTCTTAGAATTATCTGACGGTCTTATTTTCGGGAGTTTCGGATATTTCAAAATAAAAAAGATTAAACGCTCTTCTACAATTTTTTGGCCTCAAATTCTTATATTTTAAACGAAATCCTTCTTAAACCAATCCTCAAAAAAACAAGTTGTGAGTCGGATGGTCCATAACTTTTGACCGGAAAAAGAGGCCTACTCCGGTTTTTACTATGCGATTTCTTGAAGCTTCCTAGTTGCATTGGTTAGTTTTTAGACTGAAATCTTCCACTTTTAAAAACTATTCACACATTTATCGAACGGTATCATTTTTGGGAAACTTCGATACTCAAAAATTAAATCAAACATCAAGAGCTCTTCTACAATTTTTTTTGGACCCAGATTCTTATTCAAGGGGTTTGAAATTGGGGAAAAAAGTGCCTTTCATACAAAGCGAGTTACGTTTAACCGAAATAGCTTGATATGGTCTATATTCGAAAATTTTGACCAAAAGAGCTCATGAAAAGTTGCTCAAGAAATAAATTTCAAAATTAGTTTTGTCCAGCTGAGTGGGTTTTTGGCATCAATTGTTGAAAATGTTCACTTCTTTAAACGAAATTCTTCTTTAACCAAAACCCAAAAAACCAAATTGTGAGTTTGATGGTCTATAACTTTTAAACAAACAAAGAGAGTCCGTTCCGATTTCTACCATTCGATTCCTTTTAGTTTTCTAGTCGCATTGGTTAGTTTTCTGACCAAAATCCTTGCCCGTTTAAAATCTACGCACACATTTATCAGACGGTGTGCTTTTCGGAAGATTCGAATATTAAAAAATTTTTAAAAAAATCGGGAGCTCTTCTATAATTTTTTTGGCTCCAGATTCTTATTCAAGAGGTTCAAATTAGAGAGAAGGGTAATTTTCAAACAAATCGAGGTCTGTTTTGCCGAAATAGCTTGATATGGCTTAAATTCCAAAATTTTGACCGAAAAGCTCGGGAAAACTTGCTCAAAAAATAAACATGTTTCAATCTTCCTGAAATTAAATTTCTAGACTTATTTTCTCCAGCTGGGTGCGTTTTTGCATCGGTTGTTAAAAATTTTCATTACTTTAAACAAAATTCTTCTTAAACCAAAACCCAAAAAACCAAATTGTGAGTTTGATGATCCACAACTTTTGAACGAACAAAGAGAGTCCATTCCGATTTTAATCATTCGATTTCTTGCAGTTTTCTAGTCGAATTGGTTAGTTTTCAGGCGGAAATACTCGCCAGTTTAAAATCTACGCCCACATTTATCAGACGGTGTGGTTTTCCATAGATTCGAATATTTAAAAACTAAAAAAAAATCAGGAGCTCTTCTATAATTTTTTTTGGCCTCAGATACTTATTTAGGAGGTTCAAATTAAAGAGAAGCAAATCGAGGTCTGTTTTGCCGAAATAGCTAGATATGGTTTAAATCCGAAAATTTTGGTCGAAAATCTCAGGAAAAGTTGCTCAAAAAATAAACATGTTTTAATCTTCCTGAAATTAAGTTTCTGGATTTATTTTCTCCAGCTGGGTGCGTTTTTGCATCGGTTGTTAAAATTTTTCATTACTTTAAACAAAATCCTTCTTTAACCAAAACCCAAAAAACCAAATTGTTAGTTTGATGATCCATAACTTTTGAACGAACAAAGAGAGTCCATTCCGATTTTAACCATTCGATTTCTTAAAGTTTTATAGTCGAATTGGCTAGTTTTCAGGACGAAATCCTTGCTCGTTTAGAATCTACGCACACATATATCAGACGGTGTCAGTTTCGGAAGATTCGAATATTAAAAAATTAAAAAAAAATCAGGAGCTCTTCTTATTCAGGAGGTTGAAATTAGAGAAAAGAGTAATTTTCAAAAAAATTGCTCAAAAAATAAACATGTTTCAATCTTCCTGAAATTCAGTTTCTGGACTTATTTTATCCAGTTGGGTGGGTTTTTTGCATCGGCTGTTAAAAATTTTCGGTATTTTAAACGAAATCCTTCTTTAATCAAAATCAAAAAACCAAAATTGTAGTTTGACGGTCAATAACTTTTGAACACACAAAAATATCCAATTTCGGTTTTTACCACTCGATTTTTTGAAGTATTCTAATCGCATTGCTTAGTTTTCAGGCCGAAAATTTACAGTTTCAAAATTTATTCACAAATTTATCGGACGGTGTTATTTTTGAGAGGCTTCGATATTAAAAAATTAAATAAGGCATCAAGAGCTCTTCTACATTTTTTTACCCCCAGATTTTTATTGAAGAAGTTCGAATTACGGTAAGCAGTAATTTTCAGATAAATTGAAGTACATACGTTTAACCGAGACAGGTCGATATGGCCTAAATGCGAAACTTTTGACCGAAAGAACTGCGGAAATATTGCTTAAAAAGTAAACACGTTTCTTTTAATCTTGTTGAAATTAAAATTCTGGGAACTGAGACAGCTCGGTATAACCTAAACTCGAAAATTTTGACCGAAAGAGCTGCGCAAAATTGCTTAAAAAATAAACATGTTTTTTCCAATCTTGTTGAAATTAAATTTCTAGGCTAATTTTACAAAGCTGAATGCGTTTTTGTCATCAATTGTTGAAAATTTT